GATATTTTATATTTGTTGTGGAATTGTTGGTCACATGTGAAAGTGTAATCTGTCTGCTAACACGAGAATGTGTTTTGAAATGTTAAAAACATATTTAATGCTGTTAAAGATAAAGTTGAAATTATATTACACGGTCCAAGCTAAAAAAAAAAAAGCAAATTTTGTTAAAAAAGAGAAAAGGTGGCAGGTTGTATCAAAGCATAGCTCAGTAGCTTAGATAAATGAAACTACATTTATGTATCTTATATGTACTGAGTACAAGGTTTTATTTTTTCAATTTTGCACCCTGTTTTGTCTATCTTGAATGCTACTGCTAAATACTGTACCTGCAAAATTAAGCACTATTTGTTTTATTTGTATATTATGTGTATTTGTACCACTGTTTGTTTTGCGATAAAGGCTCACCAGACATATCACTCACTCCCATTCTTTGATACTGGAAATTCACAGCTGGGAAGTTCTGTTTGGCAACAAACAGCAGTATGAAAATCCCATAACCCACTAATATGGTTTCTTTTCATTGCACCCTTTGGCACAGTTTGTAAGTAACTGTTACACAACACTACATATGAAAAGCGTGTTTGCACTCTAAATCATTGAGTCTTAGGTACTTGTTCTAGCACTTAGATAATTACACACATTTATCGCCTTAACTTTATGAGTTTCTTAACTTTATGAGTGTTATTTTATGGACACAAACACTCTTGGTTAGTGGTCAGATATGTTTGCTTTGAATAAAAGCAAATATGTATTGCAAGAAAACCGTGGGCATGTTTTCATTGAAAATCACAATATATACTGTTATATAAATTTTGAAACTGAGTTCTGACCTACTAAAACATTTAGTAAATTTGCTGAAGATCCTTGAGCCATTCTTGATAATAAATGCAGATAGCTTGATCATTTTCTTTGTACTGAATACTGTTGTCTGAATCCTTAATCCATAGAGCATCAAACTCAATGCACCAGAGGCCATGAAGTTGTTCTAGGCTTTTTAGTTGACTGTCTAATGCCAGCACGTTTTTCTATTGTGTTTAATAGTTAGATGTCATTGTTAAGAAACTTTGCAACTTGCAACTCCTCTGAAGGATGCAGTGTTCTCCAAAGTTGCTAAGAATGAGGAAGATGTTCTATTATTTAAAAAAAAAAACTCACTTTATTATAAATTCCTAACTTAAATCTAAGTGGTGCCAAAGTGACACCATCATTGCACTTTTTAGCCACCAACTAATGAATTGGTAGAAATGACAACCCATAAAACAGAAGTAGAAATTAAAAATGATTGTGTTAAATAGATGGAAACAAAAGATATTATGAAATTGTTAACATTTTACAGCGTCACACATACGTCTTTCTAGAAATCTTATAGCCAGACTGAAACCAGGAACTGTATCTTGACCACTGGTTCTCAGGTGGAGGGTTGTGACCCCAAGGTCTGGTCTGATGGTATAAATTAGTTAAATTACTTGTATGTGTTGTATTGTGTAACATGCATTCATCCTTAAAAACCATAAACCGAATTATGTAATGAAAAAGAAAATATGATTTAACTTGCATTGAGGACAAACATGTTTTTCCTGTAAATTGTTATCTGCTGAGATTATTATTATTATTTATCATTTAGTTTATAATTGTTTATTTATATTTAAATCTATTTATATGAATTGTTTGGTTTTTAAGACATTTTTTGTTTACTTTTGTTTAAGGGGAGAAAAAACTGTATTGGTTCACTCAGTGTCTAATGTTAAATCTGGGCCCTCAAACAGAACCAGTTAAAAACGGCTAACTTGGACAATAATGATGGACAGTAGTGGAGGCTTTCTTTAGAGACAGAGCACAGAGGGATAAAAGGTTGTCACTTGTTTGTAGAAACTCAGTGTAGATGTCCTGAAAAGTAAATCTTTAAAAGATTTTGGTTCCTTTGTATTCAGGAGAAATGTAGAATTTACCATAGCATCACAAATTAACAGCTGTTGCTTTTTTTACAAAGTAGGTTGCAGGACGACCTCAGCCTGTTGTTATGATGTCTTAGCTCACTCTGCTTTGGGCCAAAGTACATCAAATGTGTCAGATCTTTTGTTTGGTTTGGCAGACTCGTGTCATTGCTCACGCAACATTATCGTCCTGGCATCAGCTGTGTTTTGAGTGTGGGGTGAGAGAGTTCAGTTGTTAACAAAACGCTAAAAGCATGCCACAGAAGGCCACTGAGCCTTGAAGGAAAGCAGTCATTTTCCTATTTTCAATATTAAATATTATTGCAATATTATTTCTGAGCTCTTTGTTTTCTCAGCAATCTTACCTGTCCCTGTAATGGATTTAAAGGCTGAGTGTGAAATGAGATCAGCTGATAAAAGCAGCATATGCTGTAGTGGAAGCTGGTATTGTTCACGTGTGAGATCCTGGAAGGTTTATAGGCAGCAACTGGCAGCATTGACTTGCTTTTGCTTTTTGACTTTGGATGTTGTTTGAAATGTTTTATGTCTTCCCTGTGGTCTAAGTTCAAGTTCCGCAACAAAGAAATAGCCACTAAAGGCAGTTTAATTAACTCATAGTTTACCCTAGTTTACAGTCTGAATTGAAGGCGATGAGATGAAAGTGTGTGCAGTAAAATAATAGATCTTTCAGGTGTCTTCACAGGCTGCATGCAGTAACATACAGCGCAATCAGTGCAGCTTAATTTATGAACAAATGACATTTCTTTGAATTAATTATTCAAATAGAACATTTTCAAATATTCATG